GATTTGGGGGGGGGGGGGATTGCAGTGCTGCAACTGCACCCCCCCCTTTGATTCCCACTCCACCCAAATTTTAAAAACCAACCGCCTGGGAGCTGTAGCATGTAGCAACATTTCTATGCAGGCAGTGCCAAGAGAGTCAATTGACTTCATGGCTCATTGTCATCTCCCTGATTCTTGCTAATTTCTCTCCACCCCACAGGTGCTAATGACCCTCTATCTTCTTTAGTGGACTTGACTTTCTAATCTTCAAAATATTCTTTCTTCTGCAAATTTTGCTGGCCGTTAGCCATCCCTGGTAACCTCTCTTCTATTTCACAACCCTGCAGACTACTTCTAGCTCTAGCTAAAAACCTTAATTCAGGTTAGGTGGTCGTATTAACTCAGGTATAGAAATGACTGACAGTGAAGTACTAGAGGCACTGTCAAGATGCTCAAGGCTAGTTTATGTTTTGTGAATCTGAATAAAAGAAGTACATTTAACTATAATGACTACAGGACAAATGACATGGTATCTTTCAACTATTTTCTCCCTGGTTTGTTGTGGTTTTTTTAAAACTGATATACAATCTAGCAAATTAGTCACATTTCAATAGTTATATTTGCTTTTTTTTGTTTGATTGTAACTGAATAATATAGGGCTAGCCTCCTAGCAAAGCATCTAGTTTCCCTTTAACTGGAAAAAAGTGTATTGTGTTATATGTAATGATCCAGCACACCATATACACCGCCCCCTTTTCTAAAATCTAGATCTGCCCATGGATACAATTTCAAAACTGTAGCCATTCATATCAACAAAGCCAGACTCAGAACTCATACCAACCTCCCACAATACCAAACCTGGGACAAGGACAACAGAATTCCTCTGGTTGTCACCTATAGTCTCCAGCTTGAACACCTTATATTATTATTAATGACCTCCTAGCCCTCCTGGAAAACAATGACCGTCTCAAGGTAGTCATGGGGAACAAACCTGTCCCGATTTACAGACAGTCCCCCCTCAACCCGAAAAGGCATCTCTCAAGTAACAGGCTATTTAAGTCAGAATCTCAGTGAGACACCAGGACAACAGACTGAGATGCCAGCTGTGCTCCCTCATTAATACATCATCACTGGGCTGAATAACATGAGCTATAAATCTGAGGTTCATTCACCTGCACCCTCTACCAATATCATGTACACCATCACCTGCTTACAGTGCCTCACAGTTGTCTACATTGGGCAGACAAGGTAATCCTATGTGTAAGAATGGATGAACACCAATTGTGTCCAGAAAAACATAAGTGTCTATGGTAGAACACTTTGACCTCCTGGACTCTCCAGTGCTGACGTCAAGGTAGCTGTTCTTAAGCAGTAAAACTTTAAAAAACAACTTGAATGGGAAACTGTGGAACAAGAAATGATCCACAGACTGGATTGCGTTCAGTATATAAGGGGGGGTGCATCAGGATCTGGAAGATAGTTGTTCACATGGCTCCCTAAGGGATAACTAGGTCTAATGGCCACAAACTTCTAGAAGGCCAATTCAGACTCGATACACGGAAAAACTTCTTTTCAGTCTAAGTATCCAAGGTCTGGAAAAAAGTCCCTCCAGAGATGCTGCAAGCACCTACTCTGGACTTATTCCAAAGGTGTCTGGATACTTATTTTGCTGGGATCATTTGATCCCTGCAGACTTACTGCCTCTGGCTGGGGAACTGGACACGACCTCAAGACGTCCCTTCCAACCCCTAATGTCTATGAAATCTGTGAAGTATGGTTTACACAGGGACTATAGATTCTTACCCATTATCTCAATTTGCTTTTGTGACCCCTTTGTTCCTCTGGGTTTATTACTTCCCTATTTACCTCGCCCAGCATTGCCTCCCTTTTCCACCTCCCCTCCTCCACTTCCTGTCTTTCGTTTCATAGTTTGTAGGGTTGGAAGGGACCTGAGCAGATCATCAAGTCCGACCCCCTGCCTTGGCAGGAAAAAGTACTGGGGTCAAACAACCCCAGCAAGGTGTTCATCTAGCCTTGTCTTAAAGACCCCCAGGGTAGGAGCCAGCACCACTTCGCTTGGAAGTTGGTTCCAGATCCTAGCCGCCCTGACATTGAAGTAGCACCTCGTGATGTCTAGTCTGAATCTACCCTCTGCCAGCTTGTGACTGTTATTTCTAGTCAAGAGCAATTTGTATTTATATCAGGCTCTCCATTTTATACACTGCCCTGTGTGCATCCTTTAACAGCATCCAACGAGGTGAGGTTGAGCTTATGAACGTTTATGCTAGATGGATCTGATTTAGTTAACCCAGGGGCCGGCAATTATTTCGGGAGGAGGGCCACTTACTGAGTTTTCACAAGCCATCAAGGGCCACATGAAAGGCAGCCCAAGGGCAGATAAGTATTAATTTTCTAAATTTTTTAGGGGCCCCGTGGGCCAGATAGAGTGGCCTGGTGGGCTGCATCTGGTCCGTGGGCCACATTTTGCCCGCTCCTGAGTTAGCCCATACGATACAAATCTACCCTGCCTTCTGTCTTAAAAAATTAGAAGTCAATTAAAAAACCCCAAATGCATTATTACCTGTTAAAACTCATGATTCTTGTATGCTTTCAGGTAGGAGTACTGCTATTATATGTAAAGTGGCGTTGTTATACCTAACCACATATGTCACTATATGTGGTTATTACTTTCCTCCAGATCAAGCCCAAGCCTCTTGTTGGACAGTGACCTTTATTCTCCCTCCCTCAGTGAAAGTTGCTGAAAGGGTGATCAAAAATCAGTAGCTTTAAGGCATGGAAAAGCCCAGATTCTCACTAAAGAGGGAAGGACTTGTGGTCAAGCAGAGTAGGACAGAAGTATCACGGAAGTTTGGTCCTGAACTCACGCAAGTCTAAGCATCTATACAGTCAACATCTCCTCTGTGGTGCTGCCTAGTTCCTTTCCTTAATGGCAACACTCACGTTGGGTGCCCATGAGCTACAGCTGAGCTTTAGCCTCCTCTGTGAGATAAAACCACTGAAAAAAATCAATGCTGACAAGAGCAGCATTAACTTCTCTATCAATTTCTATGTTGTTCCAAGGGGCTGAGGAGCAGAAACCCCTGAAGGAATCTCAGCAGCTGTTTAACTGCACCCAGTAATGCTACACAAAAGTTTAAAGGCAGAAAGCAATAGATACACTGAAAAATGGAGAAGCAGTTGGAAGGCAAATTATCCCAGTGGGGAATCTGGATAAGAAATCTCGACCAAATAAATAATTCAGGTACTGAAATGCTTTCAAGTATACATTTAAGGCAAGGCCCAAACATCTGGAATTAGCCCAAATGCCACTCCAATCCCCTTCCTCTGCCAGATTTGTTGCTCTGCTTCCTGCAACATGCTCTCTGCTTGACCTCTAGCCTTCCCTTCTACTTCCAACCCTGTCTATTGCTGTGCTGTTTGTCCCCTCCCTAACTGACTGCAGGCCACAAACAGGCTGTGCTGCCTGTGCCACTTGTGCCACAGGTTGGCCATCCCTGTTTCAGTCAATCCTGCTTAATGGAAATCACATCCACATTAAACATACACACTCACCCTTTTAGGAGCATAAATAGGATATGGGGATGGGCACTAATGTATTCCACGGTAGGGCTTCGAGTGCCAATTTGTCGTCTCAAGATGTTGTTAAATATCTGGGACACATCCTTTTTGCCCTGTTAAAGAAACAAAACATATTTGCAGGTGTGGAAACAAAGATAGTGAATAATATGTGAATAAGTTTCTTCATTTAGAATGGGAAGAGTAATAAATAAAATGAAACAAGTCAACAAAATGCTCTTGCTATTATTTCTTTGCTGTGGATCTCCCAAACTATTTTCAATAGTATGTGCTTGATTTTGCCCATTTGTTTGCTTTGGATATTTCCATTTTTCTTCATTTACATTTTTGGCAATAGGGAGGTGAATGGCTTCCTTGTTCTAAAGACCAAAGTTTTGGTTCTGTTAATTGGAAATGCTGGAAGGTGATAACAGCCTCAAGTCCAAGCATCACTTATCAGTAATGCACAGCCCTCCCCCTTCCCCCAAAACTAAGTCTTTATGGTAGTGATAAAACCAAGATCTATCTGGGACAAGGCCTGATCTTTGATTGTTCAGTCAGACTAGGCATTTTTTCCATTTAAATAATAAACTTAAAACTTCACCCTGTTTTTTTAAAAGAATTGTTTTCAGAACTAAATTCCAATCCCCAATATACAGAGAAGCATTTTAAGTATTAAAGAGTAGGACTTATCCCTTCAAGATTTTGTTCTTTTTTTAATATAAAGTGTAATGAGTGTTCATAGAATCATAGAAGTAGGGTCGGAAGGGACCTTGTAGATCTTCAAGTCCGACCCCCCACCTGGGCGGGGAGAAAAGACTGGACTCAAATGAGTCTAGCCAGGTAGTCATCAAGCCTCTTCTTAAAGATCCCCAGGGTAGGAGCCAGCACCACCTCCCTAGGAAGTTGGTACCAGCTCCTAGCTGTCCTAACTGTGAAGTAGTTCTTGTGGATGTCTAATCTAAATCGACTCTCTAATAATTTGTGTCCATTGTTCCTTGTCATGCCAGGGGGCACTAGGGGAAACAGTGTCTCCCCTAAACCCTTCTGGTCCCCCTAGTGAGTTTATAGACAGTCACCAGGTCCCCCCTCAGCCTTCTCTTGTGAAGGCTGAACAGGTTTAGGTCCCGCAGTCTTTCAGTGTAGGGTCTGCCCTGTAGTCCCCGGATCATGCGGGTGGCCCTCCTCTGGACCCTTTCAATATTGTCCAAATCCCTCCTGAAATGGGGCGCGCAGAACTGGACGCAGTACTCCAGCTGCAGCCTGACCAGTGTCGCACAGAGGGGGAGGATCTCCTCCCTGGCTCTACCTGAGATGCACCTGTGGATGCACAACAAGGTCCAGTTAGCCCTGCCAACCGTGACCTCGCATTGTCAGCCCACGTTCATCTCGGAGTCAATAATGACTCCAAGATCCCTTTCTGCCTCCGTGCTCTCAAGAAGGGAGTTTCCCATTCTATAAGTGTGCTGCTGGTTTCTACTGCCTATGTGCAGCACCCTGCACTTGTCAGTATTAAAACGCATCCTGTTCATGTCAGCCCACTCCTGTAACCTATCCAGGTCTTGTTGTAGTCTTTCCCTCCCTACTAGTGTGCTCACCTCACCCCAAATTTTGGTATCATCAGCGAATTTAGTGAATTTAGTGTTGTGATTCTATGATTCTATGATTCTGAGTCACCCCCTCTTCACCAGCCAGGTTCCTTCAGCATGGGGTATATTATTGAGTTCATTAAAATAAAAGAGTTAGACTAACATAGGTGCCTGGCAACCCATCTCAATAAACCAGTAGGCCCTCTTCAGTCTTGCACTCCACTGTGTTCAAATGTCAGAGAGAAACCATGTATATATACTGGTGGCAGTGACAGCCTGAAAGAAGTCTCAAACTTTTAAAATTTCCCATTCTAGATAAGAACAGAATGGAGACCCAGAAAAAGGCGATATACAAAATCCTGACATCACCATCAAAGGGTGTCTGGCAAACACACTTAGGCTAAAAAGTGGGCCACAGGTTTACCCTGGATCTGAATGTTTCAGGCTTGCATCAAAACAGGCACAGGATGCAAGACAATCATTTACACATGCAGCTTCAACGACTATTAACTCAGATTAGTTGGCCCACCCCCACCACACACACACACACACACTTTATGTACTTTATAGGTACTTAATGTGGGACAATGGACTTGTACATCTGTAGGATCCCAGAATAAAAGCCTCTCTCAGGAGAAATCTGACATCTGTCTTGAGTCTAAAGGAACAATACTCACAGAATTAGTTTATTAAAGGATTCTGCAAACATCAGCCACATATTAAATTTTGGAAGCCTCTTCATACCTAAACATTAGCAAAGGAGTAGCAGAACGAAATTATATCAGCCACCAAATACCCGATTCACTGCTGTGACATGTTCTACAATGACATATCTCTTGGAAATTAAGGTAGACAACTCATAAAAATGTAAGCTAACACAAGTTTGAAATGCCTCTCTAGAAACTATAATGCAAGATTTTTTATAGTCAAAAACAAAAAATGCAAAATTTAGTGAAAATGTAGTAGCAGTGGACAGAGAAACATGATAGATCTGAGCAAGAAAAACTCGGAGGAACTTGTTACATGGATTATAACTGATCAAATTCCTATGTCAGAAGAACAGTTTAATCACAGACCTACTAGCTATTCTACCCCCTTTCTTAACGAACTATTCATAGTTTGTAACCTATTTTGTTTTATGGTCAGTTAATACCACAAGGCATATGAATTTGCAATTTGTACACACACTTCAATTCTTCAGAATTTTTGTAGCTATTGGCCAAGTCACAATGTTGATAATATCAAGTTCCTAAAGTTCAGATGTGTTTGGATTCATGATTACTACTCATGGGATACGAATCTGGCAGTCTGGTTTGGGTTCATCTCCAGTGTTGTACAAGAGCATCAATCCTCAAAAAGCCACACTTCAAAAGGTGACTTGATCCCACTGTACAAGCATTGTAAAACAAAGAAACGATGTTTGCATGCTGAAAACTAAGGAAATTGTTCAGTCACTCAGTTACCCTTACATGGCAATTGGAAAACAGTAAAATAATGGTCCGAATGCAGCCAAGAAACCTGAGCAACTCAAAAATTATGAAAACCTGAAGAGGCAGAGTCCAGATACTGTTACTAATGTCCTTTTCAAGGACATTTCACTGCTGCAGTATACATTTCATTCTCCTTCCTTTGTCTAGAAAGAACACTGGTGGCAAAACTAAGGATTTTGCTATATGTTTATATAACTTTGTCATGGAAAAGGCTACATTTACAAGTTTATTATTATTATGAATAGAACTTTAAATACCTATATGACTGGTTAGTGCATAGTTTACTTACTGGAGGTTCAGCCTGGAAGACTGAAAGGTTGAGTAATAAGCTATGGAATATTTGACATAAGCTATACATCCAATATAACTAGGGACCTACCAAATTCATGGCAGGAGTTGCCTGCGCAGCAGCTCCTTTAATCTTGAAGGTTCCCCTGCGCACTCCCCACTGCTGATTGGTGGAAGGGCCCCACTGCTTGTTGCTCGCTCTTGATCAGTGGGGAGACAAAAACTGCAATTTTAAATATGGCGCCATTTTTGCCACTTGCCACTGACTGGCTGAGAGGCCCACTGTATGTTGTTGACCAGCTGGGAGGCAAAAACAGCACCATATTTAAAACTGTGGTTTTTGCCTCCCTGCTGATCAGGAATAGGGGGAGGGGCAGGGGATGCATGCAGCAGAGCTCACCTAGGCGGTGCAGTCTGTGGCTGCCCCTGTGGTGTGGAGCTGAGCCTCGCCCAGGGCAGCCAGTGCCACGCTCCAGCCTGCGCCTGGAAGTGGCTGCTCATCATGTAGGGTGGATGAAGTAGGTGGAAGGCAGTTGGAAGCTGGAGCCCTGTGCACTGGGGCAGGAGCTGCCCAGCTGAAGCTTCCTCCCAGCCTGGAGCAGCAAAGCAGGAGGAGGAGCCACTGCTGGAGGTGGCAAGAGGAGAGGAGCAACATCTGGGTACCTGCAGCACCACTGGGAGCAGTTCTGCCACAAGTGTGCGCACTGGTTGGGCCAGGCTGGTGAGCTTAGGATGGGGCTGCCCCAGACGGGGCTCAGCTCCATGCGCAGCAACATGAGGCAGCCACAAACCGCACCCCATCTCCTCTCCCCCTACTCCTGATCATCAGGAAGGCAAAAACTACGGTTTTAAATATAGTGCTGTTTTTGCCTCCTCGCCAGTCAACAACTTACAGTGGAGCTGCCAGGGCCCCATAGCCAATCAGCGGCAAGGGACAAAAATGGCGCCACATTTAAAACTGTAGTTTTTGCCTCCCTGCTGATCAAGAGCAAATGGTGAGCAGCGGGGTCCCGCCACCAAATCAGCGGTGGGGGGTGCACAGGTAAGATAGAATATAAGCTACCCATGAAGATATAAAGCTACATAGAACATCATGCTTTAAAGCACCAATCATTCTAAAATGGGAAAAGCTGGTTATGGTGGTTTCTTTTTTCTACTTCTCAAAACTGTTGGATAATTTTTTCTAATCCAAACCTTGGGGCATTTAGGAGGTGCAACAAAAAGTGAGAGAAAACAACTGAAAAAGCAACTGAAAAGACTTGAATAAATTCTACAATTAAAAAAGAAAACCCCCAAAAACCCCTCTCTCAATTCAGGAACAGCACAAAAATCAAGAAATGTGCACTGACAATGCAACATATAAAATTAAAAGATAAATTCAAAGAATCTGTCCTTAGAACATAAATCTGCCAAAGCTCTGCCATTAATTCTGCAGAATGCCCATGAACTCTCACTGAACTATAATGATAAGGAGGACATTTTTTCATATTTTCCAGTGAAATGGCACAAGAACGCTTTTTCGGGGGGGGGGG